CTCACCCTGTATATATGATACAATTAAAGTCTAAATATTTATTTGTCCTCAGGTGTTTTATTACAATGTACACCAACTAGCAGCACAATTGGAGGATATTGTGTCAGTTATGTCGCCACATTTCAGCAGCAAACCAGGGACGTATTATTCCGATGCATTATTCTTCATTTCTCTGGGTTTGCACAGAATCGCACCCACTCATCAGAGACTTGCCGCGATGTTTGATGCGGATACAAAATTTCGTAGAGACGTGAAGGATTTGTTCGAAGAATTTAACAAGTTCGGAGAGGAAGCCCTGTTTGGCTTAGCTCCAGAGCTCACTCCAGTTTACCGACATGTTTTGTACTTGTATCGTAATAAACATCCGACTACGATGTTTGGTGAACCCCGACATAAAGGCGGATACCCTGGCTATAATAGTGGGATGGTGCTCTTTAATTTGGAGAAATTACGGAAATCGCGTACATACAATGAGATTATCAATAAAAATAGCGTGGATGCTATAACGAAAAAGTATCATTTTAAGGTAAATTTGAACAGTATTGCCACTTGCTGCAAATTTCATACTTGAAATTAATTTTCTAATGTGATATCAATTAATGTTTCCAACCTAGAGATTAAACAATATTGAAAAAACAAACTTTGATAAAAACATGTTTCTTACTCACCTAGGATAAAAAATAAGTTTTTTTACCCCACTAATTACTTAAGCTTTCTAGTTTGAAAAATTGATTGCAAAAATTTGATGCTTATTTATTAACCATTAAAACAAAGCTTTGAAAAATCAACGTTAAATTTACTAAAATTAGATGTTATATTCAATGTTCTGTTATTCTCACTTTTAATCAAATAAAATGACAAACAGCAATAGCCTAACTATATTTTCGAGTAATTAATTCATTTTTGAAAAGCCATTTTGCATTTTTATTGTTTTTAATTTTTAAATGTAATATGGGTACTCTTTAACGTTATAAAAATCTAAATTTTGCTGAAAAAAGACATGAAAATGGAAAATAAAAAATATCACATATATTCAAGAGTGATTACAGAACACACTTGATATTTTGCTACTAATATTGTTCGATTAGAATAATAATGCATATATTCTTTACAGGGTCACTTAGGCGATCAAGATTTCTACACACTTCTAGGCATGGAAAGACCAGAGCTGATTCACGTGGTTGATTGTGGCTGGAACAGGCAACTTTGTACCTGGTGGCGTGATCGTGGTTATGCAGATATATTTGCTAACTATTCAGAGTGCAATTCAGAGACCAAGTTGTGGCATGGAAATTGCAATACTCTTATACCTGATTTATGATCCATGGCGGTATGAGTAAATTGGCCTCGCGCTTGCAGTTCTCATTGTGCTTATACATGGTGCTAGACACTGTATCTGTTCATCTGACTGAGACATAAAAGATAACTTGCATTTTTAGGTCTAATGAAAATGGTGCTAAAAGAATGATACAGTCTTAAAGCATTAAGGAATTGTAAATAAGATGACACCTAACAATTACGTTTTACATTAATTAATGAAATTCGGAAAGTTTTAATTACTTTAGAGATGATGAAGAAAATAGGAAAATTTTTCCTCTGTCGTTCTTTTTCTATTTTTTTCATGCTCTCTTATTTTTGGATATTTACTTCCAAAGGCTGTAGATTTACATAAGTATATTTTTTGTTATATAGTTGTATAATACAATCTTTTAATAGTAGATTCTTATAATACAATTGGAATCTTCTTTCCATTCTAAGTTTCTGTTCCTATCGAGACAAGGGTACTATGATTATTATATTAACTAATGATGTATTATACGATATTACGTAATGTTATGAATATACACAATTTCTGTTAATTATAGTTAACTAATTTCCTAATGATATACAGATCCATAAAAATGTGGATTTCAATTACAAAAATTCTCTCTGATTAAAAATAAGTAACCTTTAATATAAAATTTTAATTAAAACTTTTTGTGCAATGAAATGTGTGATTGGCATATATTTGTGTCCAGGATGTATCTGGTCGTGATTGCCAACTTGATTTGCTTCTTCCTCGAGCTATCTTCCTCTTCTCTTGGTACAAATTTTGCTGTCTTTTATTTTCAATTAATTTTATTTTTTCTATAATTTTTACTAATAGAAGTATTTATTCTCGTTAACAACTGTAGTTATCAACCGTTAGTCTTTATTTGTGCAATATTGCCAAGTAATTCTCTCGTTTAACAATGAAATTTGTTCTTAAAAATATAATATATAACTTTATATTTAACATTTTTACATAAATTATTTTCGCAATTACATTCATTTATTTGATTCTTCTAAAATTTGTGTAAATATTCTTTCCAAATACTACAAATATTCCAATATTTATAATTAATAAAATTATTTCTCTGTGTATAAAAGCATTATCCTCTCTTATTGCCTACCTCTTAAAAAATTATTGTAGCCCTGACATTTTAATATTAAATGTGACATTTTGTGACATTTTAATATTAAATTTTTTGTTTCTAAAACTTCAGAAATTTACTATTGGCAAGGTGGCAGGAATGCCTTATATACCAATACATGTCTATATAGTGCTGTATAATTCACAATCAAAAATTAGCTTATATTATCTGTATAATTTTGTTTTCAAGACTACCTATTATGCACGTGTCACATTCACGTGTTCACGGATTCACGTAAACGAAGATTCTTTAAATTCGTGTACACTAGTTGATTTCTTCTTATTTGTCAAAATTCGGGTGGGTTTATAGTCTTATCTCTTTTACATATTCTCGCATATGTGCGAGATTAAAAAGACTTCTATTAAATCCTCATTAAATCGCGTCGCGGTTTTAACGAGACTTGTAGGTTTATTAATTAACAAAAAGTGGAAACGCGAGTAGGTAGGAACATGAATAAGACTGTACAGCGGAATACGGATAGGCAGGGACAGGGGGACACAACTCTCTAATTAAAAAGATAGATAAAATTATAACTGTAATGTATTACAATTAAATATAATTATATATTTAAAGAATAATAGGAGGGGCTTACAAGGTTGTAATGTCCGATAAAATTACTTTATTATAATATAGTAAATGTAATGTACGTTTCGGTCCTTATTGGACCATCTTCAGCATAACGAAAAAATAATAAACACAATTACAAACATATATCGAATCGCGAATTAAAACTAAACATCGATTATGGAGACGGTAGTACAAAAAAAAACGCGGCGCAACTAGATATAACATATGACAGCACCATAATAGCGAATGCGGTTGGCCGCACTAGTGCGCACTGAGTGCACACTAAGCCTTGTTTACAGTGAATTCTTATATTTAAAGATCATCTTAAATACCTCTTGCAATATTTCTTATCCAGAGAAGTGACCTATACAACGTTTACACCGATCATTTTTTGACTGAATACTCTTTGAACATGTGTTTAAGACAAAGTTGAACATAAGAACTGACTATAAACAAGCCTTAAGCCCGTATCAGACTACGGATTAAGATTGGGATTAGATTGAAATTTGACCAATCACAGTAAAGTTTACTAATCTCAAGTTCAGTAACTTTAAAGCCCGTATCAGACTACGGATTGGGATTGGGATTAGATTGAAATTGAACCAATCACAGTAAAGTTTACTAATCTCAAGTTCAGTCAAGCCCGTATCAGATTACGGATTGGGATTGGGATTAGATCGAAATCTGACCAATCGCAGTAAAGTTTACTAATCCCAAGTTTAGTAACTTTTACTCCAGTTGATCAAATTTCAATCCAATCT